GGTGAGGATGGAGACAATGTCACCGAAGGAAACTTCTCTAGTTTTCAGGAGAGTAAAAGAGAGGGGAGAAGTATTTTCAGATTTTCAAGATTCTCTTACTGTAACCTTACAACAAAGATAATGTTAGAACTCCTACTTGTTGCTTCTTGGCTGGACTATATGCAATATTCTGATTCAGGTGCCACAATAACACAGCATATTTTAGGTACCAAGTAAATTACTTTGGAAGGAGAGAGGGTGACCTCTCCATCTCTTTTCTCAATATCACATGACAACCAAGAGGACCAACAACAAACCAAACAGCTGGTTTATATAGTGCAGAGAGAGTAGAAAGTAGGCAGAATTGGTAAGAGAAGATCAAATGCCTGATACACCTGTCCAAGCCAATAATTAGTGCTATATTTGTCCAACCCTTAATTAAGAGAGCATCTTCAGAAAGTGAATCCTCTCTTTCCTATATGAAGCTGAATCCAAACAAAGCAGCAAAAAGGGGAAAAAAAGGTTCTGCAGCTTCAAACTTTTTTGTAGCATTTTTATCCAACATTCCTATCTCGTGTTGCAACGCCCTTTTGGCTTAGCTTGAAAAGCCATACTCTTCTGTATTGTGTGCTCTAGGCCACCTTATTTGGCTGACCAGTGCTGTGATGGCTTCATGAAACCACATCCAAACAATGAGCTATTTGTTGAGAGAAGTCATCACACACTGGTCTCAAAATATCTGTCACTTTCCTTGATCATTCAAGGGTATCATGTTATTTAAAAAAGATGCTGCCTTTTTAAATGAGCAATTGTGCAAATTAAGGTTATTTTAGACCACCTTATAAGTTGTTTCCAACAGATAATATGATCAATGTTCAAAAGTATCCAGAACTACTATAAAGTAGCGCTAGAATAACATTAACATGCCACCCGGAAAGATAGAACTAAAATGGTTTTAAAACTATTTGTATATTAAAACCTACCAGCTGGAAAATTAAAGCAGATTATGAAGCATCACGGTTATACAAATTAACATGGTGAATAAAATATAGAGGAATATATGTAACTGTGAATATCACAACCAATTATACAGTACTCTCACATTTATAAAATGTTGAAATAATGTTCAATAAGGAATATGCCTGGATCGTTACATATCTCTCTCTACAGTAATTGTATCATTATATTTCAACCACAAAAAGTGTTTGAAGTTATTAAATTTAAAACATTCACAAATTATCTACCTTACTATTCTACCCAGCATATAAATTATGTGAAAAGACTAGCAAAAGCAGAGAAATGGCTCATCATGTATTATGAATAGAAACAGATCCTTAAAATCAGAAACATCCAACCTGGGTGTGGGCATAGCCTAAATTCCCAGGACCTTTTGTGCAAAGCATTCTAAGCTTTTGCTCAGGTACTAACACCATCTCTGTGCATTTGCTAGAACATTATTTTTTTGAATTTAAGGGTTGAAGGTCATTTACCATTTGAATTTTGAAAAGCAATTCTACAACTGCAAAATTAAGAATATGAGGACAATCCTCTAAGAAACAAAGAATGGAGCAAATACATTTGAAATCTCTAGAAAGTCAAGGAAAAAAAACAGCCATCCTGCTGAAGCAAAGAAGAATTCAAATCTATCTTCTTTCATAAAAGCTTCTATCACTGGAATGCTACCACAGAGGACACCCTGCCCCAAATTCATAACAACCCAGCTTATCTTGGTGAAGGAAAGCAGAAGGACAAATGTATCAGGAATCATACAAAAGACAGATATTTGGATTATGCTGGTACTAAACAGGTTAGGTTTATTAGTAAAGAACAGGTTTTTTTTGCCAGAAATAAATAAGAAGGCAAAGCAGTTAATACAGTATTTTATAATATGACCAAGGATTGCATCTGAAAGCAATTTGTATATTGGCCAGATGAAGTTTCCAAGCGTTCCCTAGCCTAGCAAGACACATCTAGATTGAATTGCAGTTACAATTCAATGATAATAAAACAATGATCACTTTGAATTTATATAGTTATAGATACATTTTTCATTTCCATAATTTTCTCAGAAATGACAAAAACCCTTCAAATTAATCCTGAGTGTAACCGGCAAAAATACCTTGGTATCCTTTACCTATTCTGAGCACCAGCTCCTATAATCTTTACGACCCATTATAAGTGGGGCTTATGGGAAGCACAGAATAGAGAACTAGAAAGGTTCCAGATTCCATATTTGCTTTACTGGCCTATCACAATAATATCAGAGATGCCATGATTTCTGGGAAACAGCTGACGAGCTCTTATACTTCCCTAGCCACATGGGAATTTTGCCCTGGTTTATGACCATATCTCTACAAGCGTTAAACAAGGACTGAAGTGATGGATCTTCAAAGAAGTGATCTTCAAAAGCTCAAGGAATAATGGACTAAGATGCTCCAATTTGTTACCTCAATGAGAATTATAATAAGGCCTGAGATTCTGTATGAGCTCGGAAATGCTGGCTCCTTTAATTAAAATCTGTTTTGTTCAAATACAGCATGGTGCAGGAAATTTATAACTAGAGGAGGAAATAATTTTCCACATGAAGGGAGAATGAGAACATCTATTTAGGAAAACTCAGGTGAACTGTAAACACACACAGAAGTGTTTTAATGAAAATTTACTAAATAGTCACAGTATCAATGAGGATCCACATTTTTTAACATTTACATGGTAGCATTCAGTAAGACCTTCAATACAGAAATATTTTTCTTTCAGATATGAACAATATAGAAAGCAGAATGGCTGTCACATGAACTCAAGAAGCATAATGTGTAGGATAGCTACATAAAAAATGCATGTAGGCCCTGCTGGTCTTCACAAGGGCCTGAAAACATGACTCTCTCCCTTGGGCAATGGGCCATAGCTCTGGAAGAGCCCATCTAGAAATAATAAAACTTGCCTCAGAGGTTTCATGTTTGGTTGTTGTGTGTTGTTTTTAGTTTCTTTATGTTTATGCTTCTAATTAATCCTAAAGTACAGAGAGTTGCTTCCAAAAGTTGGATGCTGTAAGTATCATACAAATGAATAAATTTAAATAAACAAAAAAGAAAGATGGCATATTTCAGAAAAAAGTGTCCCATATATAGAAGTTTATAAAGAATGGAATGAGTAAGCAGGGCTGGCATCAGGTTTACCCCAATGCGTTTGACCAGTCTTGAAGAAAAAACTATTTTGCTCCAAGCTTTATCTTCCACTATCTTCAACTACCACTTTTCTTATTCTAATAGCAGTCAAAATATTGAATGCCAGCTTCTTGCTTAATTTACTTTCATGTTTAAGATACTTAGGATTTTCAAAACACTGAAAGAAAAATAATAAAATAAATGTGGTTTTGCCATTAGAGGAAAACATGATTTTGTCTTTTGGGGTCTGCCTTTTCAGATGCACTTCGCCACCAATATTCCTCTTTTGTAGTATCTGGGCTAAAAGCTGTAGTCCCAAACATGCATTCTTAGTTTAAACAAATCCCATTAGATGGAAGATTTTTCTAAAGGGCCTATAGATCGGATGGCAAATCTTTGCTAGCTTTAAGAATTTTCCCAAAACAGCCATGAACTGGGTCAAATAGTCTTCCAATTTTTTTCATACTGAAATATTTATGTATGTCACTTAATTTACTGAGTTAAGTTGTAAAATATTCCAGGCCACGGGGACAGTTGCTGCTTAAAGATGCTAAATAGCAGGATAAGATATTCTGATTTTAAACTATGTAATTAACCCTTCAAAAGGCCATTACATTTTAACATGTATATGTGTTATAAATATTATATTTTCAAAATTAGCCAGTAATAACTTGGTATTACAATATCCTATTTTCCGCTATCTCCCAACATTCCATTGGTTATGGAAGTGATCACTTTCAAGAATTAGGTCTACAAATGTTTTTTAAAATTTATCTGAAATTTCTGAATCTTCCTACAAATAAGGAGAAATGTTTAAAATGACACAATTCTAAGAACAACTGTGGAGATAATTAATTTAATACACATTGAGAAAAATGGGGTTATATTTCCACTATACACAATCCAACAATAACCTGGATTTTGAAAGTTGTTTCAGATCATCAGCTCCCAATGCTGCCAAGGGGGTGAAATTCCACCTGTTTCCATTGGCCCATCCAGCTCAACGTCAGGACCACCCAGGAGGAAAGGCTGAATGTGGGCATTCCACAACCAGCCTGCTGCTCCCTAACTCCATTATGCAGCCAAAGTTCATGCTGCTCAGAGTTGAAGATCAAAGAACACCAATTTGTCATCCTGTGATTTTTCACCTCGCTTTGCTTCCCAGAGGTGCAAAATTTGTAAAACTTAATACAACGATCTGATCTCCACATTCAAGAAAGAAAAACAAAATTAACCATTTTGGCCCTTTTGATTATGACAGCATCTCATGCATTTCGTTCAGCCCTTGGGAGGATAAAAATCAATTTAAAGATCACGAACAGAAGAACAGACACCTACCCCATGCTTTTAACCAAGGTTTGTTGGATAAACCATTATTGGTTGGGTTATTACTACACACTGAGCAATAAACCATGTGTACGAGCCACAATATTTGGGATTATGTATTACCACTACCCTTCCCAAAGAGAAAATACCATGCATGCGTAGTAGACATCACACACAGACATGCAGAAGATACATTTCAATAGATTTTTCTTACATACCTGCATGCAAATGTCTCTTTCAAATGTTAAAATAAAACTGGTGGTTATACAATGGGATCTAGAAATTATTCCTTTTTGCAGTGCATGCAGACATTTAGAGAAAAAATTCAACAGAATAGGGATGGAAAGAGATGAAACAAGGAGAGATGGAATAAGAAAGTCTCCTATTCATGCAAGACAGGCAAAATGACATTTAAAAAGCACAAGGGGGAGGATATTTGTGTTTTTCCTTTTAAAAAAAAATAAAGGACAATTTGCTGTAAAAAAGGACATGCAAAACAAGCGGGTAGGACTGGCCTGAATTCCTACTGACCTGATCTTCCCACTCACCCTGGCAGACTGTGGTAATAGAGAAATCATAAAACATTATTGCCAAAAATAGTTGTATGTACTCGAAATAGCAAACCAACTTAGTGCCCTTGTGATACACAATTGGAAGGCAGCCAAGTAGTGAACATTGGACCATGTTCTGTTGTTCCAACAATCTGATTTACAGATGAGTAAGATTTTGCATTTCGGAGATAGGCTAAAGAAAGCCCATGATTGTTTGACACAGAGGAGGGAAAGGGTAAAGGTTACCCTATGGGAATGTACTATTTGAAGCTTTTGATTCACTTCGTTTTCAGTAAGGTTTTGTTGATCTTCCCACTGTTCAATATTTTTATTTCTCCAGAGAGATGGGAAAGAGTCGGAAAAAGTGCTAATATGTTGAAAGCATCTGTATTTCCCAAATAAGTACATAAACGTTTTGGGTTTTTATTTCTCGTGTGTGTGTGTGTGTGTGTGTGTGTGTGTGTGTGTGTGTGTTTTAAAAAGGAGACGTCAGTGTGTGTGTGCGTGTAAACACACACACACTGACATCTCCTTTTTAAAACACATACCAAAACTAATTTAACTTGCAACTAATTGGAAAAACAAGACAAATCTAAACAAATTTTGAGTTAGCTGACAAGCATTACTAGGTTGACTCTCTGTTTTGTCATCCTTTAAATCAGTGTTTTTCAAACTTGGCATCTCCTAGCTCGTAAATGGCGCAGGTGATTCAGCACATGTAACAGCACTAGTCCCTGAGCCTCACTGGTTGTCAGTGTGCTTCTGAGTATAATTCAAGGTGCTTATATTGATACTATATCAATTTTCACAATTCAAATAATTCTGTGTCTGACATTACATTTTATATATTCCGTATACTAGGAAGGCATGGAAAATATTGATGACATCGCCAGGACCCGTTGCCTTGGCAGAGTGAGGAAAATTCTCAGGGATGACTCACACCCTGGTTGGTACTTTTTTACTCTCCTACCATCGGGTAGGAGATACAGAAACACAGCCAGCCGGACCAACAGGCTGAAGAACAGTTTTTATCCATGGGCCGTCAGGCTTCTGAATGGGACATAACTTTATAACTTTATGCATGACAGACTCGTGAGGCCGGCGTGATATGCAATTAGTTCACAGGGTGAAATAAGTTGGGGATTTGTAGTCACTGTGAGTTTGTGGTGAGGGGGGGCACAGAGGGAGGCTCAGCCAATTTCATTGTACACCTGTTATACTTTGATAATAAAGGGTTTTATTATTACATTGGGGATTTGTCTTAGTAGGCTTGGTTCATACTGATCAAATCTTGCTATAAATAAAAGAATGGGAAAAGTAGCCACAGTCCAGTTACTTAGTGAGAGATTAGACCACTCTAGATATGACATTATTTAATTTCCCATTCACCCCAATCCCCATTCACAAATGGCCTGATGGGCTGGCTGGTCCTTTGCAAGTTTGCCGTATAGAAAGCAGGGATTATTAATAAATCAGTTCTAAGTAAGAGTGTTAATTATTGAAAAGTTGTTTAAAGAAAAAAACTGCATTATGAACAGCTGAGCAAAATTAAGACTGACTGCAGAGATTAAGAAGCTAGAAACTAGCAGGATTGTGTTCTCTCATACTAAAAGGGCCTCTAGCATGGGGAACTTCTATGTAGCCCCCTTTTACAAAACTGAAAAAGTACCTATATCGCAAATGCACTGTAAATAGAGTACCATTATTCAGTATCCAAGCAAACTAAAAAAACACGATTTAAATACTAGCTGACTTTGCACCCACACATATATCTGATTTTTGGCTCATATCAACATTCTCCTCTCCTTCCCTATCTCACTGCTAACAGTTCTAAAATCAAGTTTACACAACACACATGCCAAAAATCTAAGGCATGAGCAAAATGTATTTCGTTATCCCAGATACTTCATCAATCTTTGTTTAGAAAAGAAAAGCAATATTTGTCTTTAGGCAGAACTCTAATAGTATAAATGAGAGCTTAAAGGAGCCAAGATCATAAAGAAAGGTGTTTTGTTAAAGATAGCAAGTATTGCCTATCTGCACAGAGACTTTAGCAGGATGTACAAATCTGATGCAATCCACATGCCATGATGTCTATGAAGCAGCTGGTAGAATCTTAAAAGGCAGTTTTGATGATAATTCCAATGGAAGAATACTACACTGTACTATCTCCGTCCCACCCATTTCCCATTGCTAAAATGTTAATACTGAAGCCAAAATGCAAGAATCTCTTGTAGTGTTGTGCTGTCTCTTGTGTGGGTTGGAGGAATTCAGAGCTGAGCCATTACTAATAAGATTAAAAACTAAACACTGTTTAGTACTTTGATATGTTTGTTCTTTAATCTTATATTCATTCTCTCTTGCCACAAACAAGTTACCTGTTGCCGCTTTATAAATATTTATTTCAATTTAATTCTATCTTATGTAAGTTTCATTAATACAAAATACACATAGGTACAAATGCATATGGACAAATACAGGTAGTCCTCAGAACTGGCGACTGTTCAAAGTTATGACAGACCTTCCCAGAGCTAATTATGCCGTTTCAAAGTTCAAATGGTTGTTCCCCTCCAGTCATGTGACTGAATTTTGAGAGCTTGGCAACTGGCTCACATTTACAGCCACTTGCAGTGTCCTGCAATCACTTGACTGCATTTTATGACATTTTTCCCTTCCAGGAACTGGTGTTTACTTCCCACTGGCTAAAATAGGTTCAATGACTGAAGCATTTGCTTAACGACAATTACAAACAAGGTCATGAAATTGGGCACGGTCATCTCATAGTCTGCTTAAGACTGGCATGATTTATCCCCATAACTCAATTACAGTCATATGTTGAGGACTACCTGTACTGACCGCAATGCAATTTTGAAAGCAAATTATCAGATTTTTTTTATATCTTTCATACACTCCACAACAAGAATGGACTCAACAGGACTCTCATGCAAGTCTTTCTCTTTCCCATCTAGTCAGGGTTACTCCTTTGTACCTGCAGAATGATGTGTAGATTATAATCAATAAATATTACAATTCATACATATGCATCCAGGGTATCCCGTAAGAAAAAAATCATTTCCATGCCATTTTCTTCTTCTATGAAAGGGGCCTCAGTTTTGTCCAATGAACTGGTTCAATAAATATATGACAAGAATACAACATATCTATCAACCTGTATCTCCGTTATCACTGGTAGACTAAGAATCATGTGAGCAGACAATGTCAGTCTTCATCTGCTTCTCAGTTACCTGGGGATTTCTTAAATTTCATATTTTATCATTTGCATTAACAAAACATTAGTGTGACCAACAGCATGCAATTTCTTTCCTTTGCGCCATTAGCCCCCTTCAGATGTCCATCCATAGTTTGGCACTTGAATTGTTCTCATAGTTAACAGCACGGTAAGCAAAATATGCGAAGCAAGGAGATCATTTCTCTCTGATTCGGTAGGCATCTTCTTTATGAAACTGAATGAAAACAGTAAATTCAAATAATGGGTTTATGTTTTAAGATGAATTTATCTGTTTGGGATTTGGAATAAATTGCTAGTTCTTCATGATGATGTCAGTGGAAATTCATAGCCAATGGGCTATGAATCCTAGAGAGAACCCTTCGATGAAGTAAGTTTCTATCAAAGGAATTTTTACCTATGAGCAATTGAGACTGATTGACTGGGCAAATAACAGTGTTTTAACCACACTCAGTCCACATGGAAACTTATACAATGATCTGTTAAAATAATTGAATTTGAGGCATTTTAGTGTCAAATGCTCAAAATAAGATGACAGTCCTCCCTAGTAACAGTGCCCAGTTAAATAAAGGGAAATCAAATTATATGAGAATCAAGAGTGCAATCTAAGAATTCCCCTCTACATATGCTTGTGCTAGCTAGATTCTGTTTTCATAAGAATCAAGTAAGAACATATCTGTTCTCTGTTTTTGTTTAAGATCACACACACTTCTACTGCATCATACATGATTCCCTGGAGTAGGGGTGTTGAACTGCCGGCCTGCGGGCCGGATGCATCATGCCGAAACCGCGCCCACCGCATTGCTGGCAACAGAGAAAAAGTCGCAATATGTCACGTGACTTTGTGTGTTTGATACCCCTGCCCTAGAGCTATCATTTCTTCCTTTCAAGATCACATCCCAAACCATATACAAATAGGGTTGAACCCAAATGGCTATTCTCACAAACTTATGGCAGAGGAACTGAGAACAATTTTGCTGTATTTCTCAAGGGTAAGACTTGTGTTTATAAAGATGTCTCTCCTTTTAAATCTGTTCTAAGTCCATCAAAATCTTATCCCATGTCCCTCATACCTCTACCACCTTGACGTTTTACATAGTCCTTGGAAAGAAGATATAAACTAAAATGTATTTGGCCAAACAGAATGAAAAGGGGGCAGGGGGGACAAGTTATTTTTGCTGCCAGATATTAGTTAAATCCACCATTCAGTTACTGGGGTTTTCAAGCTGTGGGCTGTGAGCACCATGTGGGGGAAGAGACAGGAGTGAAGATGGAGAAATTTGAAGGGAATGACAAAATTGGTAGGGAGTGTAAATATGCACAGCAGAATTGAACAAGCACTTACAAAGCCCGGATAAGCCCATCACTGGATAGTCTAGCAGGGTTCTTGCAGGGATCCAAGCTTAAGTATCTGTGGTGTGTATGCCAGGGGTTAATTGCTGTCCAACTGGGGACATATGGTCCAAAAGCTGTGGCGCAAGACTCTTGGCCTAGAGATTGGTGTACTACCTAAGGCTAGATAGCTGCTGGAGTTCACTCCCAGGAGGGTTGAGATGTTCTGCATCTGCTTCTATGGAGAACACTAAGCCAATCAAGATAAAGTGGGCAGGGGGGAGGCAACAAGGCTAGCTTTCTCAAAAGTAGGGTGCAGATTTCGGAAACTGTAAGTAGCTGAGCAGGCTCATCTTTCCCACTGAAGGAAATGGCTTTGAAATTAGAGGTTTGTTTCCACTGGAAAAAAATATAATTTGAGAATGGAGTCCATGTTCCATTCCTGTATTGTTTTGTTTCTCCATAGATTGAAATGTGATGACTGAAGTTAGATGACATGTTGATTCTTGCCCAACCTTAGTCCCAATCAAACCATTTGTTTAGGTCAGGGGAGGGATCCTCGAAGTTTATTTGTCATTTTGAGGAACTGCTGTGCTACAAACTTCACAAAGTCTTGTATAACTATATAAGCTCAAAGCAACTAATCAGCTTAACTTGCTTGCCTGTGAGAAGGAACACTATCATGAATGCAACTTCTGTCTTTAATTTGCCATCCCTAATAATTGTTGTTGTTCCCCCTTCCTGTCAAGTTAACCCTCCGGGATTTCTTCACCCATCTCCATTGTTCAGTCCTAGTCTATGTTGCCCATTCTATCCTCTTAATTCATTAATTAATTCATACCTAATTCTGTATCTTCAATGTGCGCACTTTTCCTCTCCATCCTGCAGAATTGTACTGCTTCCTGCTTTACTCTGTGAGCTCTCATCAGCTCTCCTCAGAGTCACCCTCTCTAGCCTCCTGAGTAAATAACAATGGGACCAATTTCTTCCTTGTTTTTTTTTTTTTTAAATCACAGGAGCTAGGGGTTTTGTCAAAACAAAGTAAGGATATCTTTATTTCGTAAGAAGGTAACTGGGTTCTAAGAAGCCCAGAGGTTGTCTATGGAATAAAAACAGCAGGCTGCTGCTAAAAACCATTGCCCTCACTTCTGAATAAAAATAAAATAAATTATTGGTGTTTTGTAGGCACTGAAGAGATGCCCATAAGTCTGCCTGCCCTATGCCACTAACACATTACTGCAGGACACATAAATAAGAGAGGCTATTATATGCACTTTCTACTACAGCAACTAATTACTCTTTCAAGTGGCTTTTAATTATATTCAGCTATGTCTAGCTATGTCTCCTTACTTTCCTCAATACAACCTGCTTGTAAGTTTACATAAGCCATGATTTGCCTAGCACAAAAGGCACTAACTCAAATTTGGAACGCCTCTGGTTATTTTCTCTAAAACAAATCAATGGACCCCAGATGTTTTTATTTGTGTTTATAAATTTGCATTCACCACCTTTCTAATTATAAGGTATACAGAGTATTTTGATAGAAACTGCATGCCTTTGATAGAGTACTCCTGGGGAATAAATTTATTTCTCAGATTAAAAAGCTCCTTACTTCCAAACATACATTTATAGCACCGAATAATTTAGAAATCATGAAAAACAGTTTTCAGTCAAATTAGGGATTTCTGAATCTACAACTCTTATATTTGGGATATAAATATAGTGCTTCAAATGATGTAATTTCCCAAAGAATGATTTTTAGCATTACGTAACCTTTTTTTAGGGAATGGAGGAGAAGAGCATCTGTTTCATTTTGTTGTATAGAACAGCTCATGAGCAAGGTATACAGATTTTGGAAAGTTAATTTTTATGTGCCTTGTTAAAAAAAAAGTGCACTAAGCTGGTGAAGCAAATTGTTATCTCACACATGTGCTGCTTTAAAAAATTAAAATTGAATTCCCCAAACTTTATATAAAGCCTATACTGGCCATTACTATTTGGTGGGTTTCTGCTTGCAGTATTGTTTTTTATAATTGAAAAACAGGCAGTTCAAACAACAGAAGTGGTCAACATCACCTAATTAATAGTCAACTTGAGCAAGCAATAAGTGACTATTTGCTACTCTATGTGCAATGTACCAGGCTTTCTCACTATCTCATAGGATATATATTTCTGATAAGTTTTATACAATGCAATCAATCTGAGATTAAATAATTTATTTTGTACTAGAAACTACAGAAACAAGAATCAATGTTTCAGATTCATTCCCAATGCAGTTATGATACACAGTCCTATATATAATACCAAAAGAACCACATGTAAGAACATTTTTAAAGGTACAATTATGCAAACTGAATTTTAAGTGGCATTTTATGTTCACTTACATTCACTAAAGCCTATAGGCTTCAGTGGGAAGAAGTGCACAGTGTTAGATGCAGAATTAAGCATGTATAACCTTTACAAAAGCAACAGTATATATAAGACTATAAAATCACTTTAAGAATAAAATCTTACACAGGACAGCTTAGAGCATGGGTGTCAAATTCGACGCGTCATGTGATGTGTCGCGACGTATCGTGACTTTTTTTGCATTGCTAGAGCTGGGGTGGGCGCGGCCTCTGCATGATGCAACTGGCCCAAGGGCCAGCAGTTTGACAGTCCTGGCTTAGAGGATTTGTTGAATTCAATGGTGACAATAAATTTCATCACATGATTAGGTCTGTAGTACCCAAATGATCATTTCTGCTTTAATTAGTGAAAAAAATGTAGTTTAAGCTTTTCTTTTCTAGAATACTCCATATATCAACTAAATAATTTATCTCTCAGTGGAAAAGATCTAATCATTCTAACATGTGCCTAAATCAGAGCAAATAAACACCTGTACCAAAGAACATGGTATCAATCCATTAAAAATGAGTTTTAAATCAGAAATATTTTTCCTTCAGGCTTTATAAAGATCTATTAAACAATACAGGATGTAAACATAACGAAGTTCCTTTCTGAAGGCATATATAGCATACAGTATTCCATCTTGACTGAGACTAATTGTACAGAATTTATGAGAAAAAAGTAGGGATCAACATACTGTATAATAACTGAGCAACAGCCAAATTTCAGTTCAAGATGCATAAACCTATATTGTACAAAAATGGAGGAATTTCCTTACTTGTCATCTGAAAATTTTCTGAATGGTGTATATCCAAGCCATCTATAATATTCAGAAAAAAATGTAAGGACAATATGCACAGACTGGGGAAAGGAGATGAGGAAGCAGGGTGCTTCAAAGTCATAGCAGATTAACTATTATCACAGGTTTTTATTTTATTTTTGGTGGCAATGGAAACCACTGAATGAACATTGGGAAAGAACTTATGCAAAGCACCAACAAGTTACAAACAATTCCTAAATTTAAAAACAGGCTTCAACTCAGAATGGTCCTAAGGGAATCAGTGCTGAAAACCACTTGAAAAGTTTATTATTGTCATCCCTGAAGAAGCTATAATGGCCAGAAATTGGTCCAGAAATTTGAATCTGCCCTCTCAATAAGCTACCTACCCAATTTAGATAGGAAATATTTTCCTTAAAAGGATGCTTTAAAATCATCATGATGAAATAGGTGCTTTCTTTTAAACAATACAAATCTACATCATCAGACTTCCACTCAAAAAAGAAAATTAGGACTGACAAACAAAGAAACCAGATTTTGACAAGAGTAATATGGAGAAAAGCCGTGAGACACTTTCAATTAAAGTTGGCAACGGTTTAATATTTATGCAGTTGTTCATACAGCAAATCAAATATTAACTGCTCTTAACACAGAACCTGTGGTCTACCAATAACTTTAATATTCTTTTACTGCGTAGAACTTGTTTACTCATAAAGAAACTAACTAGCTGAAGAAAAATCTATTTTTGATTGTAAATAAAGTAAGAGGCTGTTGAACATGCATTTAACATGCGCTGGGGGAGGGGGAGAGGGAAATATTTTGAGAAGGCTTAATTAGAATAGACATCTGTCTCCAGCAGGATAAGTTATCTGGCACGAAAGGAAGTTGTACCTGGCTTAAACAAACGAATCACAACATAGCACTCCCCACCGCAACCCAAACCACAGTCCACAATACTTCTGCAAAATGAATTAATAGATCGTGGTGGGCTGGAACCCGCCGCGCAAAAATAATTCGTTAAGATCGTTCAACTCGCCACCTTTCTATAGGCAAGGCCAGCGTGCAAGCGCTATCACACATCTCGCCACACCGTGGCCAGCCCCGACGCCTAACTAATGTTGGGAAATGTCTACATTTGTAAGAGGGGAAAGAATGGAAGAAGAAAGAGGGGCATCCGGAAAAATCAGGGCTTCAGCATCCTGGCTTGTTATCGAGAACCCTCAACCCTGCCTTGTTCCCAGCTGTTTATATAGTACTCCAATTCAGCGAATCCGGTCAAGAAGTCTCTTAGACTTCGACACATACTAAGCTGATAAAGAGGTGCCAAGAGGGAGGAAGAAGAGAAGAAAATAATTGACCTAAGAGAGTGAGAAACTGGAGTGCTGGGAACGCTGGAATGTCCCCCGAGGCCACCCGCACCAGCTGCGCCTTCCCGTTCCCTTACCAGGCTTCTGGTTGCGCGCTTCTCCTTCTCTCGCTCGCACCGGACTCTGCGTGGGATCGCCGGCGACGGACGACTCTGCCTTCGTCTCGGGGGCTGCTCCTTCACAGGAGCGACCGCTCCGTTTCGGCGCCGGCGGGGCAGCAAAACGAAGGGACAGCGGGAAGGGCGAGAGCAGCCCAAGAGGAAGCAAGCTGCGGAGTCACACAGCAGGAGGAGGGGGAGGAAACCGAGAGGAAAAAGAGGGAGAGACAGAAGTTTTCAACCCAGCAGCGAAAGCGCCTCCGATGCCTCTGACGGGCCGCGCTCAGTGCCCCATCAGCACGCGCGCACCGCCCCGGGCCCCTCGGGAAGCGCTCCTAGCGGCACAACCTCGGCGCAGGTTTACGGTCGCAGCAGAAAGAAACTACGCTCAACCCGCTGCCAGGGCAGAATGGATTAGAGGCGGGACCAAGCCCGCCCGGGAAGGGGTGGCCGTTCAGAGACAGGACTCCAAACTTCTGCCCGGCCCACATTCCCCCGCTTACCCGTTTCTCACCTGGCCGCTGGTATCTTCTGCCAGAGCGGGCGTCTCACCGCCTGCAGGAAAAGGAAACGTGCTTACTCAAGCAACCGGGCTCGGCTGGGAAGACCTTAGCGCCTCCCGTAGCAGTACTGCACTTGGTATGTCCCGCTGTACCCACCCCCTCCGCGCGCGCACACACACACATATACACACATATAGACACACGCACGCCGCATGCTGCTTTGCCTGAAAGCAGCCAGGAAGTTACCAGGAAGTCCTGAACTAAGTGCGCTGTTGTCACTTGACTGGCTGAGGGAGTGGAGTTTGCCTCGCGTCTACGGAAAATCAAATCGCCGGGGGAAGCGGACGAGCCGGGAGGATCGCCCCACATGCCTTTGAATATAATGCACTCTTGGCAGTTTTCCTGGCTGATCGTGCAAACGGAAACGCTGCCCCGAGCCAATGATGGCGATTCTGGGAGGATCGTCTATTCCACCTATTCGTGTAAGATGATTTCTCGCACCCGCTTGGGTTGATCTCCAATCTTCCGTACGCCTTTGGGTGCTTCGCGTTTTGTTTTCCGCAAACTACTGGCTTTTTCCTCACTGTTTACACGGTCGCCAGAGCGACTTGCAAAGCGAAAATTCCCTCTCATCCCAGGGCGCTGGGCTTGTCTCTCCCAGGTTCCTTCCAACCCTATTATATTCTATGTTCTAGTTCAGAAGCGAAGCAGCCTTGACGCGGGTCCTTAGCTTTCCCGAAAAGAGCGAAGGGTCCTTCCATAAGACAAGCTAACCTTTTGGGAATGTGACCTCAGGTTTAGCCCTCCTATTTCTCTTAAGTCGCTGATGAGCTTCTGGCCTGAAAATACCGGCATTCAAGGCTGGATAAGTCTCTTTGAATACAGGGTGGAGATAGAAATCCAGACCAGGGTTTTTCAAAAAGTGGTTTCTGGGAGAACTGGGTGGGGTTCCATAAGATGGGGGGGGGGGTCGTGCAAATTCAACCAATTTTCTATCAACAGTGTTTTGCCTTTTGATCAGGGGTTCTGGGAATTTTTTTAAAAATTAATAGGTTCTGTAGCATGAACATTTTGAACCCCCAATCCAAACCACCCAATTTGTTCCTGCATATTTTTTTTTTTTTACCAACACTGCCATTTGATGATGCATTAAACCACACACATAAGGAAAAGCCTATTGTCTAATGGAGCAACTTTTAATCCATTTAATAGGGCTACCATATTTAGGCTGCTAAAATCCAGACAATCTCTGCAGGGCAGAAGCTTTGAGTTTTAGCACACTTCTATGTATGTCAATTTGGAGGTTATCACTGAATTCAGTGCTTCTAAGCAGACACATATAGCAATTTTCCTCAACCTAGATGTTCTCCAATATAAACTACTGCACCAGATGAACTACTGATGCTATCCGTTCAGGGGTGTCTAATTCTCAGCAAAATTACGGGCCAGCTTTCTCCACATTTTCTGTTCTTGTATTGCTTCTTTCAGTTGTTTTATGTTCTGGCTTTGATGCAGCAAAGAGATACAGAAAACTTAACTGCTTCCAATTAGTGATTGTCCAGATCATTATGCCACTCTCTTTAGATAGAGAAAGCATTTTTAAAAACCCTCTGCTTCATGGGCTTATTATTAGTTGACAGAATTTGTTTCTCAATAAACATGAAAAGGGCTGTGCTAAAAAGTATTTATTGGATGGAGGAAAAGTGAGATGAATTGTGAAAAGACTCAGAACAAAAATCATCACAATAAATCTTACATCCGTTTGGTTGATCTAGTAAATCTGTAAAATGCTTTGGAAATGTCTATGGGGCTTGGTTTTGCAGTCAGCTTGTAAAATAGAATACTACCGAAGCAATAACATATTTGTCCAATCTGATGTCAACTGCACTGAATTCTATGAGGCTTAAATCTATGTATGAAATAGTAACTTTGCTCCCCTGTAATGGCCAATGACTCAGTTTTGAGTAGAGAGGTCTAACAGTAAGTTTGCAATGTTAGGCATCAGCCATTCCCAAGCTGGCCACTCTCTAGATCAGGGGTAGGCAACCTTGGCTCTTTTATGACTCGTGGACTTCAACTCCCAGAATTCCTGAGCCAGCCATGCTGGCTCAGGAATTCTGGGAGTTGAAGTCCACAAGTCATAAACAAACCAAGGTTGCTTACCCTGCTCTAGATGTTTAAATTCAGTTCCTAGAATTCTCATTATTGGTCCTCAGAGAACCCTACTGTTTCTCAGCTGCAAAACTCTAGACAATTACCCAGTGGCAGAGCAGAGATTAATATGTTCCATTATGCCATCTAATAACCATCCAGTTTTTGCAGTCCTGTTCGAAAATGGCTAATTTGGGAAACGCTCTCATGCCTACATCCTAGGAGAAAGTCCCATTGAACTTTTCCTAAGTCACTCCTGAATAGATATGCATAGAATTGTGCTATAAATTTCACATATTACAGATAAAAAGATATACAGGGAGTCCTTTGCAGAAAAGTATCTTTAACCTTGGCTTTACAGCTCCCAAGATGAAGCACTTCTACTTTCTCTGATCCTGTCTGTAATCTGATGCCATTAATATTTACTCACAAGAACATAATCACCCCTCCCCCTCAAGTTTAATAGAACTTTATCTCAGGTAACTATGTGCATATAATAACAATGTATATTTCAAATGCATTTCTTAGGCCCTTTTCTAATAAATCTCTCAAAGTGCTGAGCACCCTTTTCTATAACAGCTTAAAGAACAAACCCTTCAAAACTGTCATAACTAATATCCTAATCAGTGTTTGAACTACTGGGAAGGAATTGAGTCAGAGAGAAATATTCTCTGGGTTTCACCTAAGAGAAGGGTCATCATTTTTATGTAAAAGGAACTGAATGCCTGCAAATCAGTGGGGTTTTTTTTTTGCAAGGTAGAATCAGAAATAATTAGAACAACAATCATCATCATCATCATTAAAATTATGCCACCCGCTTCTCAGTGACTCCCAAAATGTAAATCAGATTTTAAGGGGCAGCATCTTGTGGATGGCATTGAGATTAACATATCTGAAAATAAATAAGCAGTCTGGTGGTTCTTAAGTAAATGCAATACCATTGCTTATACTTATTGTTGCCAATAGATTTTGATATGGATCTTATCTCTTGTCAAATGTTATTCTTTCAACTAGCACAATATTATCTCTATCTTGCAGAACTCTCTTCTGACATTAATAAAAGCAACAAATAATTGCAGACTGTCAGTTTTATTGTGGCATATAAACTTTGTGGATGATGTTAGTGTGACTCTTCACTTTTGAAATATTTTTATGACTTTGAGAAAGCAAGAAATAGAAACACATAAGATGTGTGTTTGTGAAAGAGACAGAGAGAAGAGCTTCCAGGGAAATGTTGTAACTTTAGTAGGAAGCTATCTGTACATATCAGTATGAAGGCCTCCTTTGGCACTTGCAATTTCCCTTCCCTGGATTTTTAGAAAATATTACTGCAGTGAAAGGAATTACTAAGTGGGAAGTCTTTTTTGACCTTCACCTCAGCCTCTGTAGAGGCTACTAAGTATATCCATCTACCCAGGAAAAGACAAAGAGAAGATGAGAAGTAGAGGCTTATGGAAAGCCACATCACAGTTTTCCTTCTGATAAATTGGTGTTTTGGGATTAACTACGCATAAACACTGTCAGTTTTTCAATTGGCAATTCCTCCTCATTACAACCATTGGGTGGGAGAGCTTTCAGCTGGGAACTCACCCTCATGTTCCTCTAACTGGCAGAAATATGCTCCACAAACTCTTTTTAAATGCCATGCCCTTATGATGTTGCCTTTGTCTTGTCCCCAGCCTACGGCAGAAAGAACTTAAAGTCATTTTTCTCTGCTCCGCATTTAATGTAATGTTTTCTCTTTCTTCCCAGCACAGCTTAGATGCTTCCTTAATGACATGATTCATGATATCTGGTAATATTGGTAATTCCTGGTACTACGGCCAACCCTGTCTCCTCCAATCACTGTGCACTGTTTTCTTGAGCCTTTGTGCTTTGGACAGTGGGCCAGTCTGGTTCTTTAGTTGCACTTGCAGCTAATTCAAGAGGTGGCAGAGACTGCCTAGTAAAATAGGACATTGGCTGTCCTGTTTTACTGGGGAAACTCTTCCCTCCCCCAGCAGATTAGACCTGGGCTTGCAGAAAGCCAAAGAATGTTATGCAACCTGTGTACTGTGCTGCTTAAGGGAATCCCAGAGGCCTTTGAGTGCTTTCTGGATTAGATTTGGCCTGATCCAGCATGGGCCACTTGCCTGACTCTTAAGGGCACGACTGTATCAAGAGAACTACTGGAGAACTAAGACATTGAGAAGTGGGTGTGGGTGGGTGTATGCTATGTTCGTACACTTAACTTTTATTTTCATCTCTTAGCTTATTTACCAAGTGACTTGTTCCAGCTAATCAAACCCTTTCTCCTTCTTCTATACACACCCTGCAAAAGACAAGGAAATCAAGATGAAATAATGGGATGTTGTCACTTTTGGGTGAAAAAACTCTGCCATTAGTGAGGCTCTCAAGGGATTCCCTTTCTTCACTGGCCACAGAGTCTTGCTCCAAGCCCTTCTTGTCTTTTTTAGTAGAGTTTCCTAATTATTGGGAAACTGCTGCGGAGCCTCCGTAATTGTGGCTCAGGCACTGTGAGCAGCTTGTTTTCTATTTCAAAAAATGCATCCCATGATGGAAAGGGGGCAGAGCAGATGACCCAGTAAAACAGGAGAGGCTCTCCTGCTTCATTGATCCATGGGCTGGCAGAGTGGAGAGCTGATCTGCCAATGCCCGTCAAACATTCTCCAAATCAGCAGACAGTGGGGGAGAGCAGGGTGGAGTGAGAGAGATTCTACTTCATTATGTACTTGTCAGATGTTTGGGGGGGGGGCT